TCCATTTTCTGGATGGAGAGGGGTGGGTTGAAATCCAGGAAGAGGGCAGCTTTGGCTGTGGTTGTTACTAAGACGGCGTCACCAGTAATGTCTGTCAAAGCTGACTCGCCCTTTCTTCTATATGACACAATTACACCCTCTTTTGACTGGCTGATGAATTTGACTTTGGAGTTGAAGAGGATGGGGGCATCAATGAAAGAGAGAAAAGCTTTGGGGAGGAGATCTGTCCCACCAGTTATTTCATCATACCTTAAAAAACAAACAGACACAAAAACACGAATGTCAGCCTGAGCTTTTGTACAGAATCAGTGCAAAGTCATGTCAGCATTTAGGAATAGGGGAACATTTCGCTACCTAGACGTGTAAGTAAATTATATTTACCATCACATTTCTTCGTTATTTACTTACTTTGATGTTACCCTATTCATGTTCAATTTTACAGTTGTAGTATTTTGTGGTGGGTGTATGGCAGATACATGGTTATAACCTCATATTTGTTTCCAGCTTGTTTGTTTTTAGTCTCAAATGTTACATATACAGCAAACTGGTTGCTTCCTTTGTGATTAAATGTTACAACATTAATCTAAGCGAGTAGCTGATATGAGTATAATTTTCAACAGGAATTGTGAGAGATTCCCTAAGAATTTGCTTATAAGTAAATCCAATCAAGGAAATCCAACTACAACATTGTACTGGGTGAGGATTGTGAACAAAACAAGAACAAAAATAAGATTTGATTATTCTTTCTTTGCATTGTTCACGACTACCATCACTTCCTTGTTAAGTCTAATAATCTTACGTTGTGCTATCGCTGACATCATTCTCGACGTAGAGCATCTCAGTCAGAGCCAGATGCATCATGCTCTGTTCATTCAGTAACTCTGCAATCATAACCACTGCCTCTGGACTTAAACCACCTTCCTCTTTCAGGTACTCCTATAAAAAAAGAAGGTTGTAAATGGTCTTTTAGTAAATTAATTTTTTTTACATTGTCCAATGAAGACCTAATATCATAACAGGCACTATTTCAGAATATGATTCTGCACTTTACCTTTACTGAATAATGGTCATATTTCTTAAATGCAGCTTTGCATCCATGGGCTTTAATTTCGTCTCTCACCTTGAAAGAAAAGATACATACACAAGTTATTTCCAGTGGTCCTTTATGCAAAGTCAGAGCACAGCTCATTTAGTATTGCAATTTTGTTGACAACAGATGTCTGCATTGCATTGAGTCCATATTAATAACACGTCATCCAATAGAGTCGTTACAGGAATGGAGTCTGTTCCAGTTGAGTCTTGGTAAAACACTGGTACACCATTAGGAGCCTACAACACCTATAATTTTATTAAATATTTAATACCTACAAACATGAAGACAAAGCATTGCCCATTTGAATCTTAAAAAACTCAACAGCTCACATGCTAAGATTTGCATTTAACTGGTCCTTGAAAAGTGTCAATATGATACATTTTCTTTGGCTTCTTGTGCATTTTAAACTTTAAGTAACTTAAAAAAATCTTTTGAGCTTTTTTGCCTTTATTTGAGTGTGAAGTGACAAGAAATTGTTAACTTTAATTTTCAGTAACAGTGGGATAACCATGTGGAGTATGTGTCTGCATAAATAACTCAACACTTGCATTTAAGGCTTAGAGTCCATGGAGTGCATAAATGCATTAAATTAATATTTTATAGGACAACTGCTGAATCTGTTGTATTTTTAATAGACAGCTCTGCTATGGTATCACTCTGTATAAAAAGTGCCATGAATTCCTCCTACATCTTTACCTACCTTCTGCAAAGCCTGCCACAACAGTTCATCAGCTGATTTCCCCCTCTCTCTCTCTGGCAGTTTATAATTCAGGATGTCGGGGTTTGCTGTCACTGCGTATGTCCTCGTCCTGTTCTGTTCATTAACCAAGTAAAAAGTGTTGGAGTCATACATGATGAATGGATTCAGCTTGAGCCCCATTTCTTTGATGTACCAGCGGATTATCCTGTTAAAGCATGAGGTCATTCGCTTGTTAATGTTTATAATGCAGTACAAAAACTGGTCCTTTGAGAGCAAAACTTGACAATGTTTGACATTCTTTTACTCACTGGTGGTTACTCGGTATCCTCATTGCACCCAAATCAGCATACCAGCCATTTTCTTCATCCCTGTAGGTCTCCACCCTTCCTCCCACACGAGGACTAGCTTCTATGATGGTTACCTTAATCAAACAGTTCAAGAGAAAAAGCAATAAACAAAAATATTGTGGAAAATATATACTTTTGCTGTTCTATCTTGGAACATCTAGAAACAAACCATATTGTTATAAATCCAGAGAATTATACACTTGTAATGATCCAGGAGTGTTGTACATAAGCCATTAGGACTTTATTTATAATGAGTTTAAATGAAAGCTAAAAAAATATGAGAAAGGTTGATAGGTAATTGTGTTTGTTCTTGTCTGCAGTCACTCTCAAATCACATTCTGATCTCAGAAGAATCTTAAAAATGCCTCATCCATGCCATTTCACTACTGTGCACCTTTTGTTTTTTACAGAAACATGAAGTCCAAAGACGTTTGTATCAAATTCAGACATGAAATTACTTCTACTAGGGCCCAAAACACAACTTATGTGATTGATAAAGTTTGTATGATTGTTAGCAGGCTCTTAAAAAATATATTTAAAGAGAATATTTACAATAACTTTTTACCAGAGCCTTTCGGACCACTGCAAGACCGGACAAAATTGAAAATATTTGAAATAGGAGATATATACGAATTCATTGTCTCAAGAAAATATCACAAACTAACTCCTTATCCTTCTGGATCCAGAATCTCATAGTGTGAAGTGGACCATTCTTGGGATTTTAGAAATCATCTATGTTTTGGGGTTGGAGATGATTTTCATATAAAAGAAAATTGCACTGACTGGATACAATAATTAGGCATGAATAAAAAAATGTGTTAAATGTTTTGTCCTTTTAAAAGTAAGGGAAGATTTTATATTTTAAACACTTTTAAATATAAAATGATATCATTGGAACAGATGTATTCTACTTACTTACTTGCAACATTTTTTTTAACCTGCAGATGGCAGTGTTTGCATTCACTGGATGGAAAACAAACAACATAAATAGCATACACATATTCAAATCTTGCATGTACCTTGTGTCCTGCACCTTCCAATAGCTTGGCAGCCGTCAGCCCAGCGATCCCAGCCCCAACAATAATAACATGATGAGACTTCTTGATCTGAGGAAGGCCAGTCTTCACTGTGTCCATGAGCCGATAATTATCGTCATCCTCCAGACATTTAGCCAGCTCTTCATTCATGCTGGCAACAGCAGCAGTGGGATACAAAGCCAACAGCAGCACACTGATGGCAACTGAATGGACTGAAGATAAAAAGAGATTTTAAAACATTTATGTTATGAATAACATATAACATACATATTATACATATTATATTACATTACATATTACATAATCCATATAACTAAATTTAAGTTTGTGGAGTTACAATTTCAGTTACTAATAACGTTGAGCCACGATGTATGATGAATGTGCAAAAAACTTATTAAAACTAAAAACTTAAAGTACTTCTATTTCCCAATTCTCAAATTGCAAAGAACAATATTCTTGTATGAATCGGTGTGACTAGGTGAATGAGGTAAATCCAGTAAAAAGCTTTAAGTACTCAGGTAGAGTAAAAAAGCACTATATAAGAACCCCTCCATTTACCATTTTGATACTCATATTGACTTCCTGGGATTATAGAATGTCAACACCAAGTGTTTCAGGACACCACGTGGTGCACATTTTAATGATGATCACAAACTCAACAAAGAACAGCAAACTATGCAAGAAGTGCTCTGGAGCTCGGAATCATTACACATTTAAAAAAACAAAAACAAACAAACATTACAGGAGTTTTTACAGTTTCAAGACCAAAATTAAAGATTGCACCAGAATTACTCACAAAATTTCCACTTGGCAAATTGTGGCTTCATCTCACTTTGCTCAATGGTTTTCCTTATGCCTTTGGCAGCAAGTACAGAACAAAACAAAAAACAGAATTAGAATGAGAAATAGAAACTGGGATCTCGATACAGTACCTTTCATCTTCATATTTGTGAATTTCAAAAAGAGGAAGCATTTATATCCCAAAATTTTACCACAGCAGCTGTAGTTTTACTTTCACTTAATACTGCTGTTTTTATTCTATTATCAGAGAAAATTCATTAACACTATTTACAAAAAAATGTTGTGTTCTCTTTTCTTTCTAAGAACAGGAGAACACAACTATTCATATCCTATATGATATCCATCAACATAAACCCACATACATGCTCAAATCCTGAAAGAACAGACGGGAGTGCAGCAGATAACTCTAACCCTTGGAAAAATTCCTCAAATACTTTCACTTTTCTAACTGCTTTATTGTTTTTTTTGTTTTTTTTATCTATCTATACAAACTGATGCATTTTGTTTTACTATCAACATTTTGTTTTACTTTGTAATAAAAAAGTGTAGAAAGTCATTTGTAATCATTTTTAAAAAGCATAAAAATATGATAAACCTACACGAAAATAATACAAGTATTATTTTTACCAAGCAGAAATAAAACTATATTACCGTTTAAAAGAACTTGCTAATCCGATGTAACTCGTGTCTCCTCCTTGTCGTTCACTTCAGTTCACTCCTTTTTATACTACTCACCTGACTGTCCCATCCTAAAGGACAGGCTTGCCCCGCCTCTTTTGAAAATGAGGCTTCAGTTTTGGTTTCAGTTTTTCCCTGTCTCGTGCGGTCAGATGATATACAAACACTGTTTGGGTCCTATGATGAGAAAAATGTAACTTCCTTTAAATCTTTTATCATTCTGTCATTTGCTAAACAAACGTCTTTCCAGAAGTCTTGTGTTTTCAGTGGCACCACATGCAGGACGTATATCTTTGAGCAGGTTTGATTATTACAAAGAAAAAAATGAGGCTATAGACATTAACTTTGTGTAACATTGCCACTTTATTGTGTGAAAATGCTACATCACAAAAAGTCTTTGATACATATACAGTTTTTTAATAATATATCTCTATCACCACTAATTTACCAAGGCCTTTTATATTAAAATTGAGTAGTACAGCACAAAAAAAAGATCAATTAACAAAAGGATAAAAAGCTGTAAACTCTGAAACAATAATATTTAGTATTGTCACTTAGCTAATTCATGGAAACGATTGGTTTGTAATAAGTAGATAAGTGGTTTAAGGATCCTTCTTTTGAAGATTGTTGAAGACTAAATATGTCAGACCCTAGAGTTCATCTCTTTTTCGACATTTAGCTGACTCTGAATTCAGCAGCACAGCTCTGTTAATGTTTTTCGCTGCTCTTATTGCAGATTTCATGGACGTCTCAATCCAAGCATGAGGGAAGGCTGTGTGTTCACCAGCAAAGTGGACCCTGCCTTCACTTTTAAAGAGCACCTTAGCATACTCTAAGTGTTGGTAGGGTGTGAACAGAGCGAAGGCACCAAGGCTGTAAGGATCCATGCTCCACTTTTTCACCACCACCCCAGTGCAGAAATCCCAGACCTGCTCACCGTGAATCTTTGCCAAATCGCTCAGAGCCAGCTCTTTGAGGGCTTCATCACTTGCACCTAGGAAGAGTAGTGAATCATCACCCCAGGTGTAGGAAGCCAGGAGGACACAGATGGTTTTATTTTTTTGGAAACTATGGCCGGGATAGTAGATAAAACGAGTAGGCCCGTCTGTGATGCTCTTTCCTCCTTGGATACCATCGTTCTCCCAGAACTTCTTGTTAAAGGTGAGGAGGATCTTAGTGGAGCTGTCATAATGGACAGCCCTCAGTGCCTCCATCTTTTTGGGGGACAGAGGTGGGATGAAATCCATAAATAGAGCTGCTTTTGTTGTGGTTGTTACTAGGACAACATCAGCCTGAAGATCAGTAAGAGAGGACTGTTGTCCGGTTTGGTATGATACAATGACTCCTTTGTGTGAGTGACTGATACGCTTGACTCTAGAGTTCAGGACAATAGGGATATCAAGGACAGTAAGAAAAGCTTTGGGGAGAAGATCAGACCCACCAACAACTTCAAAGTACCTATAAAAAAAGAGACATAAAAATAACATTTTATTATAATTATTGCAGTTAATATCTGTAGGAAATTATTTACATGTACAGTTTCTACAATTCCATTTTTAGGTTCTAATGAACTGCTCAGAGCAGGCAGAAGCAAACTTTATTGCGTGTGTGTGGCTGTTGGATCACATTAAATGTTTGCATCTCTTCTGCTGCATGTTCGAACAAGTTCAGTCATCACAATGCTATGGTGTCGTGCTTCGTGATGATAAGTGCTCCATACCTTGCGGCAAAGGTAAGGCCCTCATGATAAACATAGTGAAGCGCTTACGTAAAAAAAGCAGGATATATGAAAAACAAGTCGTGCCAAATGACTGTTTAACTGCTCCGTGTTTTCTGGATGTTACCATTGTTTATTGATATGCTTGCATGCACTGAAAACTCATAGATACTTTTTTATATTCTACATAAAGACGTGAAAAATTGCAGTTGCTGTTTGCAAACACATAACATATATTTTATATTTGAAGCCTTTGCTGCTATGTTAAATGGCTCAAATGATTAAAAAGCACATTTAAGCTATTATATATTATTACATTCGTTTTTGCTTGGATTAATCATGTGTGCGACTGTCTCTTTTTGTGACCAAATGGTAGAGAAGCACTCTTAATTTTGTTTAAGCTCTACTTGGGTGATAATAAAGACATTTTAATTATGTTTTTACACATAAATGTAAACATGAAGAAGGTTTGAGGAGTTGTCAGGCCCTACTTGGTGCTGTCACTGATGTCAGTTTGGTCATAGATCATCTCACTAAGTGCAGTGTACATAAGACTCTGTTCGTTGAGCAGCTCTCCAATCATTCTCAATGCTTCGGGGCTCAGATCTCCTTCTTCTTTCAGGTACTCCTATTTGCAACAAACAATTACATTTTGTGAACTCAGGATGTACATTAATATCATCTGATTAAATGTTTTTGCTAGTTTTACTTGCACTGACACACATTTGTGCTGTAACAATTACAACCACCTCTTTCAGTTTTGTGGTTCATGGTTAAAAAGTAAAATGACGTAAGTAATCTTTTATTAAAATAAATATTTACTAATGTGTTTTTACTAGTTTATGTTATCCATATACCCTTATTTGTAATAAAATGTGGTAATCATTTAAATGTTTAACATTTAGAAATGCCAATGCAAGTACTCTGATTCTTTAGAATGTAGCCTCATGATTCACTTAGTCAACCAGGACTGTTCTCATTTTACCATTCATTATCTCATTATGATTTATACCTTCACGGAATAATGGTCATATTTTTTCAGTGCAGCCCAGCAGCCATGAGCCTCCACCTCATCCTTTACCTACCAAAAAAGGAGAAAGAACAGTTGCTTATATGGAAAAAGTCCAGAACCTTACTTATTGCATTGATTCTTTTTGCAATGAGCAGTCAGAAATGTCCATATTAGTCTACAACATACTTTCATGACTGAAGGAGCAGGTACAGTTGGTGAAATCAATTTTAATTTCTTGCTTTGACTTTTCAGAATATCTTCAGTCAAAACATTTGTCATGTTACATAGTGTTGAGTAGAAAATGTTTAAATGCATTTGAGTGTGCTTAATTTAGTTTAACTGCTTTAATGATTTGAACAGTTTAAAATTCAAGGAAACATACATGTTCATGCATCACTAACCACTCTGAGATTCCCTTTTTTGTGCTAGTGGTCAGTGACGTGTTATGTGGTCAATAATGATGAAAAAGGGTTCCATTTTTGCAAAAGTTGCAAATTGAATAACTGGAGGAATTAGCTACTGTATGTTTCTCAATCCAACTCTTTTATGCCAGAGACGTTTGACTCTCTTCCTTTTTTCTCACCTTCTGTAAAGCTTGCTGAAGGAGTTCATCTGCTGACTTCCCTTTCTCACTTGGCCACACATTGTACCCAAGAACATCGGGATTTGCTTGTGCTGCAAATGTTCTTTTCCGCTTTCCATTAACATGGTAAAAGGTGTTAGGGTTATCCATGATGAATTCATTCAATTTGACCCCTAGGTCATCAGCAAACCATTGCACAATTCTGTAGGAAGATAAGGTCAGTGGTAGCAGAGTTAGATATATATGATCCCAGATGTTAAAGATAAGGAAAACACATGTTTGCGAGGTTTTCCTTTTGATTTAATGCAAGTCTTCAGTGGATTTAATCTGTATAGTTAAACCTTACCGGTGAAAACTTGGGATCCTCATGGCCCCCAGTTCAGCATACCACCCATCTTTTTCATTTCTGTAGGTTTCAACCCGTCCACCAATGCGGCCACTTGCTTCTACAATAGTTACCTTGACAACCACATGAATTAGAATTAGAAACACCATGGTGCCACTAGAATAATGACTGTTATGCAATTGTTTATCCATAATAACAGATGGATTTTAAGATGGACTGTTATGATTGTTATGCATATGTTATGTGAATGTTGACACATTTGCATAACAGATGAAAGTTCCTGGTTAGTTTTAGGAAGGAGTTACAAACCTTTTGGAAAATAACAGGCAGCCCAAATGAATGATAAAAACAAATATGTAGAGCCAAACACTTGTGTTGTAGTGTTTAGGAAATATCAGTATTAATGGTATTTAGGAAATATTAATAACAATATTGTTACTGCTTCTGCTGGTACAGCTATTGTTAATGTCTTGATGCATGCTCACACATGTATGTAAATCCCAAAAGGTTGATTCTGTTTATAAGATTGGGCAAACCTGCAGTCAGCTGAGACTGAAGAAGTCACTTGGATGAGTGATGAAATGTTTTTCCCACTGAAAACGCTACGTCCAGATGAACAGAATCAACCTTTTGGGAACTATTGTTAATGTTTTTGCTACTTGTTATGTGCCATTGCTTCTATTAGATTAATCATACTGATAATACAGTCGTCTTTGTAGCCACTATTCTAACTACACTTGCTAATGTTTGTTTTATTACTTACCATTTATTATTTATTGATCTACCTTATTTTTTAGGTTTTACTACAACTACCATGTTTTATGCAAAACTTAAAAACAAGGGCTGCTTTTGCTCCTCCTGAGTGGAACACTAGCAACTAATGAACTATTACTTTATCCAAAAAATTAGAAAAACGATGGAGAATTGAAGTGCCCAATGTTATAGGAAGGCTTTGACGCTGGCGGTGGTGAGCCATGGATGGTTATTGTGGACATTGTTTTTGATCAGAAACTTTGCTGTGAATCTCATGGAAATAGTACAGGAAAAAGAAAAGGGGGAAGTAAAGAATCATGATACCAATTCATGATACCAAAATCCCCATAAAGGTGATTGTGTTTCTAAAATGTCATAAGTTTACGGTATTAGAAAAACGATTTGCACTTTTTTTTTGGTTTTCTTACAGGTTGTAAATCTTCAGAAATCTCTTTGATTTGACAGCTAACATTGCATTTAGATTGTCATTACATTATATTATTCTTATTATCAGGATATATGTGTGATACATGTAATAATAATAATAATAATGGATTGGATTTATATAGCGCTTTTCAAGGCACCCAAAGCACTTTACAATTCCACTATTCATTCACTCTCACATTCACACACTGGTGGAGGCAAGCTACAGTTGTAGCCACAGCTGCCCTGGGGCAGACTGACAGAAGCGAGGCTGCCATATCGCGCCATCGGCCCCTCTGGCCAACGCCAGTAGGCGGTAGGGTAAAGTGTCTTGCCCAAGGACACAACGACCAGGACAGAGAGCCCGGGGATCGAACGGCAACCTTCCGGTTCTGGCTTCCCAACCCCCTGAGCCACGGTCGCCCCATGTACCATGTACCTTGTGTCCTGCATCTTGCAGTAACTTGGCAGCTGTCAACCCAGCCATTCCAGCTCCAACAATAACAACATGATGAGATGTATTTATGTGTGGAAGACCAGTCTTTGCTGTCAGCAGCAGTTCATTATAGTCTTTGTCCTCCAGACAATCAGCCAGATGTTCCTTCAGCCTGGCAGCTGCTGTTAGACTGTGGAACACAGTGAACAGCAACACAGTGACAGCACCTGGAAACACAGTGAAAGGTCAAATATTTCTTTCCTTCTTTTAAAACAAGAGGAAAGCATTTTTTTTAAGTAACAGATCAGACAAAATTGCTAAATACTATCAAATCAAAGTCTAGTTGAGTAACTATTTGATTGCATCACAGACATTGTCTCATTATGTCAGTAGGCTAGAATAACCATTTTTTACCCCAAAAGAATGGGTAAGGTTCCTCCTGTCACAGTGTCACATGTGTTTTATGGAAAGTCCAGAAAATGACTTCTGCTGAAGTAAGAATGGAGTGATTAATGTGAATGAAACCCAGAAAAAAGCAGAAGTAGAATAATTTTCAATCATTACCGCAGACAGGAATGTGTTTGAGGAACTGAAGAAAGGGAATGTGCACTTTCAGCAGATTGAGTATTGTACTTTCACAACTGCCTAACAAAACAGGTTTCCTGCTGTTGAGCAGCCACAGCCTCAGTCAGGTAAGCGATCGCAATGAATTCAAATGGAATGAAACAATAAAGTAAGAAAAAAAAATGTAAGGGTTAATTTAGTACTCACTTAAGTTCCATTGGACTTTATCCATCTTAGTTATTGCTGCTATGTTCTTACGCTATTTGAAAAGACAGAAGAGGAAGAGAAAAACACAATGAAAGCTTCAGTCTTGGAAAGTACTGAGTTCTCTTTCAAATAAAACAAATCATTCCCCCACATAATCCCCTGCTTTCCCCTGAAACAATGCATATTAGCCTTAATATCTGAATTTGATTTAAACAAATGTCACCTATCTGTTTATCTGTCACAGTCCTCAAGTGTGTCGCGACAATTTTCCTCTCGCCACTTTGTTTTCTCTCGCTCTTCCTTTTCATCAGTGTGCTTGCTGCTGTGTGTGGGTGTGTCTACATACCTTACAGGGGCAGGATCCTGCTGGGATATCAGCCCTATCCTGGATGCACCTGGTTCAGTCAAGCACTTGTGCTCTAACTGCGGAGTGTGCGTCACTTGGTGGAGATGAGAGATTCTGTTCAGGAGAAGCAGAGGACTCTGATTCATGGGACCTCCCTTCTGTTGAATTTCTAAATAATGGACTTTTTAACTGACAACCTCAGAAAGATTTTGTAAATAGCACATCTCACACTTACACTGTAAATAAACTCACTAAACTAAACTTGCATCTTTAAGTCCTGAATTTGAGTCAGATGATTCATGACTCTATGTATCAAGTAAGTATAATAAATTCTTACCCGTTAGGAGCATAAACATTACATGCACAGTTGGAGTCACTTGAGGTGAACAAGCATCTTATGTGCTTTCATTCATCTGGAAACGTTTACCTATTTAACTGCATCCAGAAACGAATCAGTTGGGCTTGACAAACTGGTTAGATCAAGTCATCGAGTCAACAATCATCCATCAGGTCAACAGTTATTTAAAGTCAAAATAACTGTGCCACAAATGAAGTGAAAGTAAAGCAAACCTATATTTCTTTGATTGTTTAATCCAGGATTTTATGTGGTAACCATATGCTTGTCATTCACTGTATCACATGTGCTGTTTCCAGATGAAGGTGTGACAAGTATATTTTTATATATTTTTATTGTTGGGCCATTTTGTAATTTCCAGTGGAATTTTCAAATTTTCTTTTATGGTGAGATTTGAAGGCAAACTTACAAAATAAAGATTATTAAAAATATATCACCCAAATAAACTAAAAAAAAAACTAGAAAATGCTCCACAAAAAAGGGCATCAGGTTGCAATAAAAAGTAGAGGATGCATAAAACAGAGGACTAAACTTTATTACCATACGAAAAAGGAATTTGGTTAATGCAGGACACATTATCTACTTACTATACTTATAAACAAGACTAAATAGCGGGCGTGTTTCACCTAAACTTTGCTATAAAGCTTATAAGGTTCAAGGTTCAAGGCTCTTTATTTGTCACATGCATAGTTAAACAAGTATAACACACAGTGAAATGTAACCTGACACGCTCCTCGACATGTGCAAAAATGGGGGGGGGGGCTAGAAGAAGAACATTATATATATACAGTATATACATTGGGTGAATGTGCAAAGAAAGCATCCAGTGGAACAACAAATCAACCCCAAAAATTAGTAATAAAGAAAACCTGGCCATCATCCAAAACTGTCGTTTTGGAACATAGCCAAAACCTGTTGCAATCCATAGTTGTTTCATTCGGGCAGTGTGCTTATTGAAATTTATGCCCTGAACTCCGCTCCATTCCTAAATCATGCACCAACACCAAAATGTATTTTAGCTGATGGAGGACATGTTTTTTTTAAATCTCAAACAAAAGTTAGCCTCCACAGTGTGGTGGTGTAAGCACTTTTATGTTCTTACATCGTACATGTACCAAATACAAACCAGATGATCTTACTTTCCGAACCTACTAACAGTGACAACAGTGCTTTCTGAGCTGTGTTAGCTCTCGAACACACACGGTATGGGTGAAAATAAAAATGGGTTCTTTACCTCTGAATCAGTCCTGGCCCTCTAAAAGCTCAATCAGGAGAAATATTAGCAGTCACACTTTGCAGGTATTGCACAGGGAACAAAGATTAGAAGTGTCACATCTCATTATTAAATCATCAAGTGAGTACATAATGCAGATGAACTGTTATGATCAGCAGGAGAGTGATTTAATGGAAAAACAACTAGGCAAAAGTCACTAATAATAACTTTTCTTTTTTTTTTTTCTTTTTTTTTTCTATTGGCCTCCCCAGAGTCCCAGTGTCAACATTACTGAATCATGGAAAAGAACAAAAGAAACTGCAGAACTATTCCTGAATAAAGAAAGAAAGAAAAAGAAAAGAAATTAGAAATTAAAGAAATTACAAAATAGCTTGCGTAGAAGACAAAGGCTGTTTTGAAGAATAAAGGTGGTCATATCAAAAACTGAGTTTCAGCTTGTTACAACATTGTTTCACTGATTTTTAAATGACCTGTTTGCTATTAATATTGTCAAATACATGAACAGTCTTGATGGCAATCTTCTTGTCTTGTACACCGAACGATGTGAGAACTTCCAACAGTGACAAACACTGATTGTGTTTAACGTTAATATATGCAGCATCCACAGCAAATATGTAGAGAGCTGGAAAGTATAATGCATCCCTAATTATTGCCAGACATTCACATTAACTGCTTTAAGAAAATGATGATTTTTCAATTTCTGAGGAAAGGGTCACTTAAGGTTAAATCTTTAAGACAGTATGAATGAGGTTGTGCCCTTGTGCCTCTTGAGCTAATTGCACTGTTAGCAATCTGCACGTGACTGCTTGAGCTTAATGATCCAAAGAAAGACAAATGCTGAGAAAATGATGCTAAACAAGGCCTAAACCTAATCCAGATGTTAAAGTAAGAGCTGTGAGCTGTGAAAGCTGCAGATAAAGAGCAAGCACTAATTCCATTCCTACATCAAATGTGCCAATATTTCTTGAAGCTTGCTAAAATAAAAGCAGAACAAAATAAATATTATTAAATACAGACTACTTCCTTCTGTGCTGCATTTAAAACAGAATACAAAGCAGAATAATCCAAAATCTCTTACATAGATATAGAAAGTTGATTAAATTACCATATTTTATGCCATGTTTTGGAATGTTTTGTTGTACACTACACAACTATATAAATGACAGATCAATCAAAATCACTGATTTGCAGTGACTTAATACATTAATTCTTATAATATATATTAATATATTTTCTTTAGCTATTGAACAGTCCTTTATATTTAGGCATGTCATGTGCAGATGCCTTATGAGAAGCTGCTTCTGTCTTTGCTGAAACCCACAGAACAAAACCCACCGTGAGACCAGCCATTTTCATGTCTTACGTCTGAGAAACAGGATATAAAACAATCACATGCTGACACGACACCTTCATCTGTAAGGGTACATCTGAAAAAAAAAATCATGATCTAAGCAGTTGGTGCAAGTAGGATTTTTTTTTTTTTTGCCATCTACCCTTTTTGTACAGACCAAATGACCCACAGTGCTTTCATTAAAATGTCAATCTGTTGAATCAAGTTTTACTTTCTCTTTCCCAGCTGCTAAACCTCAACTATATCTTGTTCACACTATCTTTTGCTTCTTTTTTTATTCCACTACACCCCATTAATCTACAACACTGAAAGCACAGACAAGTTCAGTGAGTTAGTTATACCTGGAATAACATCATAACCTTATATAACGGGATTCATGTGGATGGTACTTTGACACCTACCAATTATGTTAACACTGCAGACTATGCACAAGGCATTGCTAATAGGGAAACAGCCAAGCATACAAGAGGTTTCTGCCTTACTAGAGCGCAAAACAGGTTGATAAAACACAAAGAGCCCAAGGTGTTCACCCACCCTCCAAGCTCTGGAGAAAACCACTGTGGAAAATACTTAATCCACTGAAGCATCAACCTCCAATATACACAATCTAAAGGATCCTCTGCTAACATGTGGCAGACACCATAGAAGTTCCTTGTTCAGGCCCCAGTGGATGTGACCTGATCATCTTAGTTATAGTTAGAGATGGATCATGTGACCCTGAATCCTCCCTTAGTTATGTTGCAATAGGTGTAGGCTGCAGGGGAACTCCCATGATGCCTTGTGTTTCTTCATCAATGAACATTTTCACTCACTATGTGTTAATAGACCTCTCTGCATTGAATCATATCTGTTATTAATCTCTGTCTCTCTTCCACAGCATGTCTTTATTCCTGTTTTCCTTCTCTCACCCAACCGGTCGCAGCAGATGGCCCCGCCCCTCCCTGAGCCTGGTTCTGCCGGAGGTTTCTTCCTGTTAAAAGGGAGTTTTTCCTTCCCACTGTCGCCAAAGTGCTTGCTCATAGGGGTCATATGATTGTGTTTTTTTTTTCTGTATGTATTATTGTCGGGTCTACCTTCCAATATAAAGTGCCACGTCTTAATACCTCTACTCATTATCAAGAACAGCACACTAGCAGACACTGTAACATCCTGGAGAAGCCACAAAAAGACACAATTTCACTTACATTTTTGAACTCAAGGTTTGGCATCTGTTCCCTGTTTTCTTCCTGTGGGTTGAGGCATATCCATCCATCCATCTTCATCCGCTTTATCTGAGGCCGGGTCGCGGGGGCAGCAGCCTAAGCAGAGAGGCCCAGACCTCCCTCTCCCCAGCCACCTCCTCCAACTTATCCGGGGGAACTCCAAGGCGTTCTCAGGCCAGCTGAGAGATATAATCTCTCCAGCGTGTTCTGGGTGTGCCCCGGGGCCTTCCTGTGGGTTGAGGCATATCCTTTGTTTTATTTTACCATCCCTATAAGAAGAAAGGGAAGCTAGTAGAGTGGGTTTATACCTTGCTTTATTGGCTTACTCGATATTTTGTTAAGCAACAGTTTTCTGCGTAATTTAATTATAGAAATTCTGGTGAATAAGAATATATCTTAAGTCTGTTTAATGTGAGCAAAAGCTCTTAAGGCAAAATTAGTTAATAGACAGATCCCTCGAGGCGTATCTCCACTGTAATGACTAAAGAGTACAAGAATAGAATAGAATAATCCTTTAATTGTCCCACAAGGGGAAATTTGGTTGTAACAGCAGCAAAAAAAACCCAACAAAAAACAGACAAAAAAACAAAACACATATACAAACAGAACAGAAACATAATTTTTAAATTTTTACATCATGGACATTAGTTACCAAAGCAGAGTACTGTAGAGTTATTAAAATTAGAGGACAGATAAGTGGCAAACCCAGGTTGGAGTGTGCAAACAGAGCAGGATACTGAAAGATGTTTAAATAGTTAAGAATATTCAGAGTAATTAGAAAAGTGCAGATTGTCTCTTGTACCTGCATTAAAAAGTAGACATGCAACTTCCAATAAGTTAGTTATAAACTGAGAAAAATAATGTGCAAGTTATAAAAGTTGTTTGGTTGGTTAGTGCAAGTTACAGTGCTGATGTCAACATCTATGTTTGTTGAGGGCAGTTTTGATTGTACAGTCTGACAGCTGCAGGGAGGTAGGACCTGCAGAAATGCTCCTTCATGCATCTAGGATGCAGCAGTCTGTCACTGAAGGAGCTCTGCAGGCCACAATATAAAGCGCCTTGAGGCGACTTTTGTTGTGATTTGGCGCTATATAAATATAATTGAATTGAATTGAAGTAAGTACAACCTGTTGAGATACAACATGCTCTAAAATTATTTTATGCTCACTGAAATCATTCACACATCCTGACTTCTTCACTTTTCTTGTTAAACACAAATGTTTCTGTCCCATCATGCTTTGCAGGAATGTCCTTTTTTCAGTATAAGCAGTCTAAAAAAAGTCCCCTGTGGGTTTTACTTTAGTGGAACCAGGTACAGTCTCAGTACATCAAAGTAGTCCATGACTTCAGAGACAGCTCAAACTTCATACCAGGATACTTC